ATGCATGTGAAAACGTCTCAATGTCAATTGCTTTGGAATGAATTCTTCTGTATGAAAAAAAAAAAAAAAAAAAAAAAAAAAAAGAATTTCTTTGAACTCTTATGGCAGAAAGTTAGCTGTATTTATACATGTATTTATACATTTTCCTGGACAGGATGGCTAAACAGCACTTGCTCTATGATGATGCTGAATTGCTGACCCCAGAACTCATGGTAGGCTTAGGATTTAAAATTTTTATTTTCTTTTATACTTTTCAGGAAAACTGATAGCAAAAGTCCTGCTCCAGTAAATATTGTTTTACTTCTCTAAATAAGTTTTTGTTAATTTACAAATGTTATACAATTTTACTTCATTCTATAATACTTAATCGGCCACTCCTTGCTATGAACTACAAGGTAAGAAATCTTACTTAACAAAACATTTAAGGAAAACTCTTTTCAATGTTAAAACCACATTCTAAGCTGGGCATAGTGGCACACTGCTGTGACCCCAGCATTCTGGAAGCAGAGGTGGGTGGACTGCTGGGAGCACAAAGCCAGGTCTAGGCCAGCCAGGCTATATAAAGATCCTAACTTTAAAAAAAAAGAAAGAAAAAGACGGCTGCGTTCAAGTGGGTGTGATGGCGCTCACTGTAACCCCAGCACTCCAGGTTGAAGCAGGACTGCTGCAAGTCCAGGGCCAGCCTGGTCTACACAACGAGACCATTTCAAAACAGACTGCATCTCACCACTCCCGGAGTCACACATGGATTGGCATCTGCCTCCTGTCCCTAAACAGCAAACCATTCTCCATAAGCAGAACCGTTGTAGGACATATGGTCCAGGCAGCATCTTCCAATGAGAACGAGGGTGGAGAGGGACAAGGAAACATTTGTCACACAGGACTGTGAGAGCTTCAGATGAATGAACGTGAGCCTGTGGAGCCACAGCCGACAGAACAGGCTCCCTCCTCCACTTCTTCCAGAGCTAGCATCTGTGAACTTCAACAGCAACACGGGCTGATTTAGCAGTCTTAGGTCTCATTTTCTGACTCTGCATCGTCCAAAGTGCTGTGAGGAGAGGAGGATTCCTTCCAGTTCCGTGACCAGCATGTTTTCTGAAGACACGCACCTCCCCTCACCAGCACCTCATCAAATACTTTGGTAGTCAGAACCTCGGGCCACAATGGCAGCAGCATCCCATTCCACAGTGAAGAATGAAATCGTTCCAAAAAACCCAAATATCACCATGACCAGAAGTTGCCAGTGCAGGAGGAGGTAGTTGCTGTAGAAAAAAGCCAGGGCTGCGCAGATCGACTGGAACAAATAAGAAATCAAGTGGACCCAAGGGCCTGAGCAGCTCCAACCAGCCCCGCTACTTCTGACCCGAAGCCATCTGTGAAAGGCAGCACCCACCCATCTTTCCACAGGAGATGGAGATGGAATTCACTGTCACTCACTCCTGACTGTACCCTGAGCTCTCCTGTCGGACAACTATCAAGTACGCTACGGCCTCAGCTACTCATACCACGTTGTTGGAAGGTGCGGTAATACAGAGCACACAGAGTGCAGTGTGCATCGCTGTGTGACAAGGGAGTGAGTCCTGGTACCTAAGGAGGACAACCTCTCATTTGAGTGCAGAGCCCAGAATAGAATCTATCTTGTCAAGTGAGAGAAAGCAGGTGCCTGGATGCACTTGGCTTCTACTCACAGCCCCTTTTGGTTTTGTGGGGTTTTGTGGTTGTTTTGGTGGACCCCTGTAGCTCCAGCTGGCCTGGAACTGGCTATGTAGACCAGGCTGGCCTCAATCTCACAGAGATCCACCTGCCTCTGCCTCCCAAGTGCTGGGATTGAAGGTGAAAGACCCTCAGACCCCCAGCCTCACAGTCCCTTTTACAGCAGGAGTGACTAGAGGAACCGGCAGGAGGAAGGAAAGCATTCCCACGCAGCAGGTTACCTGGACAAACTTGAAGACAGCGAAGGCTGGCGCACTGTCTTCTGAGTAGAGAAAGCCCAAAATACTAAGTAGCTGGGTGTTGAAGCAGCTGTCGCCCAGACCCAACAGAAAACTGCAGAGAATGGCAACTTCTTTGCTGAAGAAAAGAAAGGCAGATTGACCATAGGTAGTACCACAAAGATACAAATCAGCCTTCCCACAAAAGCATTTTACAGCCACTGCTTTTTTATTTTTAATTCCTTTTTTTTTTTGGTGGTGCTGAGGATTGAACCCAGGACCCCCGAATGCGAGGCAAGCATTCTCATGGTACCACTTCCCAGCCCTGTTTTACTTTTAGACAGAACCTCATTATATAATCCAGACTGGGCTGGAATTTGTGATTCTCCTGCCTCAGCCTCCTGAGGGATTAGGATCACAAGTGTGTGCCACCATCCTTGGATTATCAAGTTTTGTTTTTGTTTTTCTTTTGTCTTTTTGAAGCAGGGTCTCCCTGTAGCCCCGGCTGTCCTTGAACTCACAGAGATCTGCCTGCCTCTGCCTCACAAGTGCTGCGACTACAGGCGTGCGCCACCACGCCTGGCAGATTATCAAGTTTTAAATACATTAAAACAAGAATAAATGCATACTAAAAATGATGAGGTCTTTTTGTGGCGCTCCCACAGGCTAGGCAAGCCCTTACACTAGAATCAGGCAATTCTAGAAGGCAATCAGGCTCTAATGCATAAACTTTTACATTCTAGCAAACTCTGGTCTACTCTCTACTTGGGAAGCAAATATCTTTTAGGATAGGTATGCCTTCGATTTATGGATCTAGCCATAAACCTCTGCATCTATAATGAATTAGGAGTTGACATCCTGGGGATGGAGAGACAGCTAAGTGGTTAAGAGCACTGGCTGCTCTTGTAGAAGACCCAGGTTTGGATCCCAGCACCCACATGGCAGCTAACAACCATCCTTTACTCCAGTTCCAGGGGATCCGATGTCCTCTTCTGGCCTGAAACGTGTCACAAGCACTCATACACATAACTGTTTATGAACCACCATGACGGGCTGAGCAGCCGACCCAGCCGGCAGACTAGGCCTCTTTGTTCTTCCTTTAACTGTGCAATGACTCACTGCTCAAAAGGCAGAGATATAAAATTCAGATCAGCTAGGCTTGTGCTCCTTCACAGATCAAGGGGAAGATTAAGTGGGGAAAAGGTTAAAAGCAACCATTACAAAAATAACTTGGGAGTACCTATGGATTCCTACTTAAACTTCTTCCAGCTCCGTTAACACTTGACAGATGACCTTATAAAGATGAGAGACTCTCTGAAGAGGAGTAAGTGCTCCATTTCAAGTCTCCCTGAAGAAGAGTAAGTGCTCCATTTCAAGTCTCCCTGAAGAAGAGTAAGTGCTCCATTTCAAGTCTCCCTGAAGAAGAGTAAGTGCTCCATTTCAAGTCTCCCTGAAGAAGAGTAAGTGCTCCATTTCAAGTCTCCCTGAAGAAGAGTAAGTGCTCCATTTCAAGTCTCCCTGAAGGGAGTAAGTGCTCCATTTCAAGTCTCTCTGAAGAGGAGTAAGTGCTCCATTTCAAGTCTCCCTGAAGAAGAGTAAGTGCTCCATTTCAAGTCTCCCTGAAGAAGAGTAAGTGCTCCATTTCAAGTCTCCCTGAAGAAGAGTAAGTGCTCCATTTCAAGTCTCCCTGAAGAAGAGTAAGTGCTCCATTTCAAGTCTCCCTGAAGAAGAGTAAGTGCTCCATTTCAAGTCTCCCTGAAGAAGAGTAAGTGCTCCATTTCAAGTCTCCCTGAAGAAGAGTAAGTGCTCCATTTCAAGTCTCCCTGAAGAAGAGTAAGTGCTCCATTTCAAGTCTCCCTGAAGAAGAGTAAGTGCTCCATTTCAAGTCTCCCTGAAGAGGAGTAAGTGCTCCATTTCAAGTCTCCCTGAAGAAGAGTAAGTGCTCCATTTCAAGTCTCCCTGAAAGGGAGTAAGTGCTCCATTTCAAGTCTCCCTGAAGGGAGTAAGTGCTCCATTTCAAGTCTCCCTGAAGGGAGTAAGTGCTCCACCTCAAGTCTCTCTGAAGAGGAGTAAGTGCTCCACTTCAAGTCTCTAGCCTTTCACCCCTCTTGCCTACCTCAAATCACTAGGAAAAATGAGACACTGTACCTGGGCCTGATGTACGAACTGCTGTCAGTTCCTTCCACAGGGGCAATCGGCGCATCTCCAGGCATGTTGAGAAAGATCAAGTAAAAAGCTACTAAGTGCACCAGGATACCCAGCAGCACGACTGGATTTCTGCCAAAGCGATTATTCTTGCTCAGCAGGCCAAAGAGGCTTCCACCTGTGGATCAGGATGGCAGGGACACTGCAAAGGTTACTAACACATCATGTAACAAGTCATCAATTATAATCCAGAGCCAAAGAATAAACATCCTCAGATGTCCAATAGCTCCCTCAACATGAAACACCTCCACACTCACAGACATCTTTCAAAGCTATGGAATCAAACTTAGTTCCATTTTCAGGTAGTGATGTTCTTGCAGTTCTCTATGAATTAAAACCTCCTAAACTATCCCCTTTGAATTATAGCTAATTAGAGAAATAAAAGCAAAGGGCACCAGGCGTGGTGGCGCACGCCTTTAGTCCCAGCACTCGGGAGGCAGAGGCAGGCGGATCTCTGAGTTCAAGGCCAGTCTGGTCTACATAGCGAGTTCCAAGCCAGCTGGGACCAGAGGGAGACCCTGTCTCAAAAAGGACCAAAAAAAAAAAAAAAGCAAAGGATGTAATTATTCAATTACTATAATGATTTTCTGAGCAGGGCAGCCCGGCCTGGAACTCCTGATCCCCTGACCTCCACCTCCGCTGGAAGGCAGGCTCAGGTCACTTGAGCCCACCCTCAACCACATTTGTGTTGTGATCACAGCTGAAGAGTCCAGGCGTCACGATGAGAAGCAATCACTGTGAAATTGCAAAATCATGTAAGTGCCAAAGGCTGGGGAAAAAGACTTTAGGAAGGCTACCAGTTATAACAGGGTAAACCAAGGCCTGATGGCACAGTGCAGTACTCCCAGTTACTGAGGAGGCTTAGGCAAGAGGATCCAAAAAGTTCAAGGCCTGGGCCAGGTATGGTGGTGCACACCTTTAGACCCAGCACTGGAGGCAGAGGCCGGTGGATCTCTGTGTCTGTTCTACATAGAGAGTGCTAGGCCAGCTAGACCTACAGGGAGACTGTGTCTCAAAAAAAACCCCCAAACCCACAAAAGACAAGAAAACCTGTAACGTTCTACAGCACAGCAGGATGAGCACAGTACCTGTAGGTTCAAATGACCAGTAGAGGGTGTGGAATTACCTAACAGAGAAATGATAAGGGGGTGATCTGCTCGTCACCCTGATCATTACACAGTGAGATGTCACATAGCACCCCAGATTCATTCTCACATTGCTAGCATGGCCCTCCAGAAATTGACTGTCAGATCAATGCTGGAATTACAGGGCTGTGCCACCACCTAGACAGATCCTCTCAGAAGCAGGCATCAGCACTAAGTGAGGGAACCCAGACAGAAGCCGGCAGCCTCCTGAGTTGAAGAGCCCGGGCTGGGTCTGGGGATAGATGCTGAGCATTCCAACACATAAAGGAGTGCTGTACAGGAAATTAAGTCCAGTGATCTGTTGAGGCTCCTGCACCTTCAACTCAGTCCTCCTCAGCAACAGCGAGCAAATTCAGAGGCTAGGGGAGAGCTGCTAAATGGATCAGTGACAGCAGTGCCCAGGACTGGGAATGGCAGGGAAGCTCACCACATCCACATGGGAAAGTGACTTAGGGCTGCGGAGCGCAGTCTTCCCTTAGGAGTTGGACACAGCTGCAAAGTGAGTGGCACTCCAGGTTCCCCCTGGGACCCCCATAGTGCCACAGTCACTTCTCTATCTTTGCAGACACTTTCAGACCTCTCTCTTGGAGCACCGAACATTCTGACTGTTCATCTGCACAGTAGGAAGTACAGCATTGTCCTGAGTTCTGTGAGTTGTTTTGGGAAATTATTTTTTTTTTTGCTTTTTGTCTTTTTTGAGACAGGGTTTCCCTGTAGCCCCAGCTGTCCTGGAACTATGTAGACCAGGCTGGCCTTGAACTCACAGAGATCCGCCTGCCTCTGCCTCCCGAGTACTGGGACTACAGGTGTACACCACCATGCCTAGCTTGGGAAATTACTTTTATTTTGTCTTGTTTTACCGGTTTCTTGAGACAAGGTCTCCCTTTAGCCCCAGCTGTCCTGGAACTCACTATGTAGACCAGGCTGGCCTCCATCTAGGAGATCCCAAAGGCTCGTGCCACTACAGCTGGCTGAGAATTTTTAAAATTTTTATTATTTTTACGATTTTATGTGTATGAGTGTATTGCCTGCATGTATGTGAGTGCACCTGTGTCATGCAGAGCTGCGGACATCAGAAGAGGCCTACAGGAAACTAAATTCAGGATGAAAGCCACACGGACGCACGCATGCATGCACACCTCCTTCACTTTACACCTGTCTCCTTTGTCTTAAAACTCTAGGTCAGACTCTTAACTCTGCACACACACACGTTAATTCTTAAAGGAGTGTCTCTGTGAAAACTCCTGATATCCAGCCTGTCTCAGCCCCACTGAAGCTGACAGCACAGAGCTGAGAGTCACTGAGGCACCTTGCTCCAGTTTTCACAAGGTCCTATTCCAGACCCCATCAAAGATGCCAGAAAGTCTGCAGCCACTTAAGCAAACCTGCAGGCAGAGTAGTGCCTCCCAAACAGTTCACCTGTGATGACATCGCCCCAAAGCAGGAGCCATCACCCCAGAGGAAGCAGACCCGCCCCTGAGCAATGAGGACCCCTTTGAGCCACCTCGCAGAACCAGAACTGAGACAAGGCTCCAGCACACCACACTGTGGACAAGACTGCTTAACTGCATCATCCCTCTGGCCGCAGGGCCCAATCCTTTAATTCCCTTCTCTCCCCGCCTCTTTCTTTTGTGGGACTAGGGACTGAAGTCAGTACTCTACCAGTGAGCTACAATCCCCAGCCTCTTCCTCAATTTAAACCTAAAGCTTATGTCAGTACCCTGAAGATGAACTGAAATACTTGCTTTCTGTCTTCCTGACATGGCCTAACTGGTGGTTAAGTTCAGCTTTCTGTCCCTCACTGTTCTTTACACTGGGTACATTGGGATGTGGCCGTGTATATCCGTGGGACTCCCACAAATGGCGCTTTTTCCCTAAAACTCCAGTAACAGGACTGAATTTGAAAACCTGTGTACATACAAATTACTGGAGACACTAGGGTTTCAGACCAAGCTCTTGCTCTGGGCCCTGGCAGACTAGATTAAAAATCCAAATGGAGTCACATTAACAGTACCATATCACCAAACAAAGTTGTAAAATGACCTTCAGAAAAGTCAGATAACAGAACTGGAGAGAGAACTTAACAGTTAAGAGCACATGCTGCCCTTGCAGGACCCAAGCTCAGTTCCCAGAACCCACATGGCAGTTCAAAATTCCAGGGGTATGCAATTTCGCTGGTCTCCAAGGGCACCCACACACTAGTGTACACACCTACACAGACACATACACACACAATTAAAAATAAAAATAAGCCAGGCATGGCAGGGCGCGCCTTTGATCCTAGCACTTGGGAGGCAGAGGCAGTTCTATCTGTGAGATTGAGACGAGCCTGGTCTACAAAGCATGTTGCAGGACAGCTGGGGCTACAGGGAGAACCTGGCTCAAAAAAGGCCCTCCCCAAAGAAATAAAATCTTTAAAAAAAAGAGTGGTTAGCTATCAAACCTGGTGTGATGAAGCATGCCTATATCCTAGCACTTGGGAGGTAGGAGGCAGGAGGATCAGGACTTTGAAGTGACTTGAGGCCAAGCGGGGCTACAAGAGACCTTGTTTCAAAAACATATAAACAGGAGCTGGAGAGATGGCTCAGCAGTTAAGAGCCTTGACTGTTCTCGTAGAAGACCCAGGTTCGAATCCCAGCACCCACATGGAGGCTAACAATGGTCTGTAGCTCCAGTTCTAGGGGATCTGACACCTGTTCCTGTCCTTTGGCACTGCAGACATAACACTCATACACATAAAATAAAAATAATTTAAAAAACCCATACAAACATATACAATAAAAAATTAGAAAATCAGATAACAGCCAAATCAATTTCCAAACCACTTTAATCTGTATGATAATAAAATTCCCCCATCTTTAATCTGTATGATAATAAACCCCCAGCTTTAACCCTTATGTCTTTTAGCCCTTACAGGAAGCATGGTAAAGTCAACCGGTTACTTACTGCTCCTTCTCCCTGTCCCCATGTTACACAATCAAACACTTCACACTCAGCCAACAGAATGCTCCACTGATGGGGTGTTGTATTGCCTGCTTATAGAACCCAAGATAAAGCTAGTAAAATCCCTTTAAGCTGAACCCTGGTCATTTAGTCCTTTTACATTAACTGTAGATACTGTCAGAACAGGACTGAATTATGAGACACGCACTGGTATTAACAGTCAGTGCTAGAAAGTAAAAGATTTTCTCCTCAAGTATTTTAAGAAGAAATCTGGGTGAGATCATTTTTGCTTATTTATGATTTCCATTTGTAAATGACTTGGCCTCTTTTTATGATTTATTTACCTTAGAAGAGTGATTAATAAAGCCAGGTGTGGTGGTACAGGCTTATAATCCCACCACTTAGAAGGTAGAGACAGGAGACTCAGGAGTTCAAGGCTAGCCTGATTAGGGCTGGAGAGATGGTTTAGCAGTTGGAGAGACTGAGGAAACTAGGCGCCACAAGCCCATTGTCAGCCAGAAGCCAGAACCAGCCTTATCTAAAAGCTGCAAAACAGGCAGGCACCGCTGGTCAAGCTTCAAGGATCAAGCTGTAAACAAATCTTACGGGCGGAAGGACCACCCTTAGGGCCCGATACCAGTAATCCCATTTCCCCTTAGCCCCGACCCTTACCCCATATCTCTGTGTGTTTTCGATACCAGTAATCCCACTTCCCCTTAGCCCCGACCCTTACCCCATATCCTTGTGTGTTTTTGAAATTACTCTGTGTTTTTGAATTAACGAATAACCGCTCTCCTGCTTCTGTACCCTGCTTCTGCTCTATAAAAACTGCCAAACTCCAACCTGGGGCGCGCAAGTCCTCCGAGGAGACTCTGTGCCCACAGGTACCTGTGCATCAAATAAACCTCTTGCTGTTGCAACCCGAAAGGCTGACTTGTCCTCAGTGGTTTCACTCTTACAAGACCTTGCCTCAAATGGAATAGGTAGCAAGTGACCCTCTCCTGGCCTGTGTACAAACATGTACATAGACATACACAGAAATATTTACCAAGGGAAAACCCAATAGCAACAATAGGAAAACAAAACCTACCCATGTGGATAAGGGTAAGTAGAGAAAATACAAATCCAGGGACAGAAAGGTGAAGTACACTCAAACTATCTTAATTACAACAAACTGTTTCTCTGTTTTTCTTTTTGTAACCCAGACTGGCCTCAAACTGTCTATGTTGTCAAGGATGACTTTGAACTATCTGATCATCCTGCCTCCACCTCAGAATATAGGCCTGAACCATGGGCCACATTCTGGCTTTTTTTGAGTTAGGGTCTCACTTTATTGCCCAGGCTAACCTTGAATTCCTGTAGGACCAACTTTCCAGCCTGATTTCTTATTTTTAGTACAAAGGCTTTTAAACTTAAAAACACCCCCACAACACACACACACACACACACACACACACACACACACAAACCAACCTAAAATTTCTCCAATGCCGATGAAAATTCCAGAAAGTCCAATGAGACTTTTCTCTTGTGTTCCAAATTTGTTTATAGCACCAATACAGGTTCCATAGACCCCAGAAAAGAAAGTCAACTCCAGACCTTTAGGGAAAAAAAAAAAATCAGATTTAACCCAGCATCCCGTCTCCTTTTCCTAGTGTTGCTTCAGGTCTGGTAGCAGCTGAGCTGGACAGACACAAAGCGGACATAAATTCACAGGCTGCAGTGCTACTTCCCACGCTGCGCAGCTGTATGCTGCACAACTGAAAGAAGAGAGCCTTCCCCCAGAGCCCAGCTGAACCCGGTGTCCTGACCACGGCCGTCTGGAGACAGCCTCCAGGAGGTGATGAGATCACAAGGGTGGGCTCCACCAAGGGTGGACACCGCAGAGCTCACCCACTTTGTCTGCCATGTGATCATACAGCAAGAGAGCCCTCACCAGAAGCTGACCGTGCCGGTGCTCTCTCACACCACAGCCTCCACAGTGAGAGATTAATGTGCTTTCTCTTTTTTTGAGACCAGGTCTCACCACAAAGAGAAACCAGCCTTGAACCTGCATCAATCTTTCTGTGAACAATAAAAGAACTATTTGAGGTGTCATCATCAGATTCCAAATTATATAGGGTGCCATGTATTACAAATGTCATTACCATACCAACTGCATCGTAGTAGCATAAAAAGAGAAATATTGAGCAATGGAATAGAATAGAGAGCCCATATTTAAGAAGTTGTGTTTCTCAAATCCGGGTCAGCTGCAAAAAAAAAAAAAAAAAAAAAAAAAAAAGAAAGAAAAGAAAAAAAAAATCAGGGGATAGAGAGACGGCTTGGTGAGTACAAATCCACACAGGAGGTGGATACAGGTGGTCTAGAGTTCAAGGTCAAGGTCAGTCTGGGCTCAATAGGAGACCCTGTCTCAAAAATAAAAACAACAGAAATCATTAAATGTATTTTGGTTTGGGATTAGGACAGAATAGGCAATAATTTCTGAAATGATCCTAAACACACTTCTGCCATTTTTTACTGGATATATATAGAATGAGGTATTCTTAGCACTGATGATTATAAAATCAAAATAGTCTGAAAAACTTTAAAAGCAGCTTTGTCCCACAAAGATTGAATTTTTTATATAAACACGAATAAGTACACCATCTCATTAGTATGCAAATTCACCTTTTATAAATGGTAAGATTTTATATATTAATTATTTTTAAATATGATTTGGGGGCTGGGGAGATGGCTCAGTGGTTAAGAACACTGGTTGTTCTTGCAGAAGACCTGGGTTTGAATCCCAACACCCACATGGCAGCTAACAACTTTCCATAACTCCAGTCCCAGGGGATCCGACAGACTCTTCTGTCCTCCATGGGCATTTCACGACACAGGTGCACTTACCTACATGCAGGCAATACATGCATACATGTAAAATAAAAATAAATTTTAAAAAATTAAAATAAATATGATTTATTATCAGTATACCTATTTTATATACCTACTTAAATATGAGTGGAAAAAGTTTTAAAGCCCTATTTAAATCACCCAGTCTATGCTGATTTGTTGCAGAGGTTCAAACTAAGAAACCACAAGAGGGCAGTTCCCACGTTTTTGATAGAAACACAACTCAGACAGGCATTCTATGTGAAGCCTGCATGGAGGCAGGAAACACTGAGGACATAATTAACATTGGACCGCAAGAGCAAACACCAAGTGCCCATTATTCCCAGGTGCAGCTTTCTCAGCAAGCAGGAGCAGTCCATCCCCTCTGGGTCGAGGGCTTACTGCACAGGTTGGCCAGTGCACAGCATCAGCCTAAAATAGGCTAACATCTTCATGAAACCCTTTGTTTCTAGGCAAGGAAACTTCCTAAAGTTAGAGCAAAAACTCAGGTTAAGTCAGTAAGGCCTCTATTCCTTAATCTGAGAAAACCTTAAAAAATTAAATATGTTTATCTGGGTGTGGTGGTGCACGCCATTAGTCCCAGCACTTGGGGAGGCAGAGGTAGGCAGATCTCTGTGAGTTCAAGGCCAGCCTGGTCTACATAACAAGTTCCAAGCTGAGGCTACAGGGAGACTCTGTCTCAAAAAGACAAATATGTTTAATGTCTATTTAATTTCTCCTAAAAAGAGGAGGCACTGAAAGGTAAAAGTGATTGGCATATCACAGCAATTTTAAAGGAAACTGATTTATTTATCTTTTTGTTTTTGCGTGGTTTTGTAGTCCTGTCTAACCCCCAGGAAGGCACCAGGCAAGTGAAGGAAACTGCATGGGAAGCTCCAGCTCCAGCTGCCCTCTGCAAGCAGCTGCAGAAGGCCGCATGGATACCCCTGGGCAGCAGAGCGTGGAACTGAGAACGGATGAAGGCCACCCATTTCAGCCTTGCCTGTCCCTCACAGCAATAGAGAGAGGAAAGAGCAGCTCATACCTGTATAGGCCGTTGTAATGCTCAGAAGGAGCATCTCCTTGGTGGCAAATAACTTTAGAGACTTTCCTGTAAGGAAAAAAAAATTCGACAGACTTAGCTAGATTTTAATTAACAAGCACAAGTCCTAAGAAACGTTTTCCATAACAAAACATCCCTCATCAATAAAGACAGAAAAAAGACAATAAACATAGAAGTTAAAGTTTCCAATTTAAGTGCATGAGGCATGAACTAAGTCTGCCCTGTAAATAGAACGTTTATCTCCAGGGCTTAAATATGTTCTGGAGATGCATTTCCTCAATATATTTTTTTTCAGCTCTCATAATGAAGGGAGGGGAAGAAAGCAGAGTCAAACAAGATGAGAAGTACGTGAGCAGACACAGCCAAAGGCCAGGCTATCCAGGAGTCAACAACCAGCAGAGCACAGGCTTCCCTAAGAAAGAAAGACCCTTGGAGCCAAGGCTACGCTCAAGTCAGAAACACCAAGGAGCACCCTGACCCACACAAGCTGGTATCACCCCCGAGACTGTCCACAGGCTGCAGCCTCACCTGCACTTCTGTCCAGTCCTCCCAGTGTCTGACTTTGCACTGACCAATGTGGTAGAGTTTTGCAATGGAGAATGCTTTTCTTTTTCTTTTTTTTGGTCTTTTTGAAGCAGGGTCTCCCTGTAGCCCCAGCTGTCCTAGAACTTACTATGTAGACCAGGCTGGCCTTGAACTCACAGAGATCCGCTTGCCTCTGCCTCCCGAGCGCTGGGATGGCAGAGAATGCATTTCTAAAAGCTCCACGTCTTTTTTTTTGACAGTCTTACTCTGTCCAGGCTGTACTGGAACTGTGTAGTCCAGGCTGGCCTGGAGTTCAAGATGATGTTCCTGCCCCAGTCGTCTCAGTGTTAAGAGTACAGGCATGCGCTGTCATGCATGTGAAATTCTTAATTCTTTTCTTTTTTTGTGACAGGATCTCCTATATTCCAGGCTAGCCCTAAACTCATGGGTAGCTAAGGAGGAACTTGAGCTCCTGATCCTCCTGTCTCTCAAATTCTGGAGTGCAGGTGAGCACCCCCCATGCCCAGCCTGCCTTTTTTGACCCTGCTCAATTTCTACACACTAGGAAGAGTGGACCCGGATTTAGTTCTTTCTTAACTGTTATCCATATAATGTACATGTCTTAGTTTTGCTTCCTGGTCTGTGATAAAATACTGTCAAAGGCAGCTGAAGGGAGAAAGGGCTCATGTGGCTCACAGTTCCAGGGTACAGTCCGTCTTGGGAAGCGAAGGCGGGGGAAAAAAGCTGCTGCTCCCATCACATTTAGTTAAGAATGGAGGCATACCATTCATACACGTAAAATAAAAATAATAAGGGGCTGGAGAAACGGCTCAGCGGTTAAGAACACTGACTGCTCTAGCAGAGGACCCAGGTTCAATTCTCAGCACCCACATGGTGGCTACAAACCTTCCTTAACCCCAGTTCCAGGAGAATCCAAAGACCTCTTCTGACTTCCGCGGCATTGCACGACATGTGTGCACTTGCATACATTGTAGGCAATATGCTCACACACATAAAATAGAAATAATAAATAAAATATTAAAAAATAAATTAAAAAATAATAAAATATATATAAAAAAAAAGAATGAAGAGTAATGAATGAACGCCTGCCCGCTTGTGCTCGGCAGGGTTTGTCCACCCCTGCACCAGCACCGCCACAGCGGGCAGGACTTCCCGCTGATCAAGATGCCCCCACAGATACACCTGGAAGCCAGAAATCACCTAGACCATCCCTCAGAGAGGCTCCTTCCCAGACCATTCTGGATTTGTCATGTTGACAATGGAAACCAGCCATCACAGCACACAGCTGCACTGTCCTGAATCTCTCTGTACACAGAGGATGCCCTTTTCTCTACCTATTGAAATATGGTGAAAAATAAGAGCAATGACAATTTTTTACCCATTACCCATTCAGGATACATAATACAAAGTTTAATTTTTTTGTTTTGCTTTTTTGAGACAGGGTTCCACTGTGGCTCTGCCTAGCTTGCAACTCACTATGTAGACCACCTGCCTCTGCCTTGGCATGCTAGGATCAAAGGCCTGTAACTACTATGCCCAGCCCAAAGTTTAAAATATTTTAATTTAAAAAGTTAAGAGAGGCTGGAGAGGAGGGTCAGTGGTTAAGAACACTGGCTGCTCTTGCAGAGGACCCAGGTTAGATTCCCCTGCACTCATACGGCGGCTAACAACTGTCCATAACTCCAGATCCATGGGATCTGACACCCTCTTCTGACCTCCACTGGCACTGCATGAAAGGGTGCACTTACACACATGTAGGCAATACATATAAACATTAAATAGAAACAATAAAATACTTAAAAATAAATATAATTAATTAGAAAAGCAAAATCACTTTAGAATAATTAGAAGATTTAGCCACCAAGAAAAAATTCTAAATTGTCTAGGACACTATAAAAGTGGATACATGGGGCTGGAGAGATGGCTTAGCAGTTAAGAGCACTGGCTACTCTGGCAGAGCACCCAGGTTCGAATCCCAGCACCCACATGGCAGCTAACAACCATCTGTAACTCCTGTTCCAAGGTGATCCAATGCCCTCTTCTGGCCTCCTCCAGCACTGCATGATACAGGTGCACTTACATACGTGCATAAAGGCATAACACTCATACACATAAATTCTTAAAAAGTGGATACATAAACATTGATCCAAGCTCACATGTACAGCACCACATGAGCCATACATAGTGTAAAGCACCACCCCTGGGTGAAGTCACTGTGCCACTGCAGATCTACCAATTCCAACAGACGCAGCATCCCAGGGAGGAGCAAGGAGAATGGAGGGAAGCTGTGATGACGCGCAGGCACACGTGTGGCAACTCCACACTTCCTGCTGTTCTGCTATGAACACACACACACACACACACACACACACACACACACACACCCCTGCAGAAATTAACTAACTGGTCCTAAAATTCATATAGAACTCAAAGGGACCCCAATCTAATAGTGGTAATCAGCACAGCACAGTTCTGGCACAGGGACAGATATATCTATCTAAGAATAAACCCCAGGAGTTACTGGGAACTGATTTTCCAGGAAGGGCACCAGCACAATTCAATAGGGAAAGAACAGACTTTTCAGCAAATGGTACTAGATCACTGGATAGCCACACGCTAAAAAAGGAAGCTGGGCTTGAACGTTGTGCAAAGACACAAAACTAAACAGATCAGACCTAAATGGAAGAACTAAAACTATAATACTCTTGGGAAAAAAACAGCAAATTGTCAGGAGCTGGAGTTAGGCAAAACTTATTAGGACATCAAAAGCTCATAAGAAAAGAAAAAAATAGCAAAACTGGTTCACCAAAATTAACAAGTTTTTTTTCTTGTCTTTTTGAGATAGGGTCTCCCTATAGTCCCAGCTGCCCTGGAACTATGTAGACCAGGCTGGTCTTGAACTCACAGAGATCTGCCTGCCTCTGCCTCCCGAGTGCTGGGACCATAGGCATGGCATGCGCCACCACGCCTGGCTCTAAAACTAACAAGTTTTACAAAACCATACTGTTACACTAATTAACATGACTAATACCAAAAAGTCAAGCGACAGCTGGGCATGGTGGTGCACAGCTGTAATCCCAGCCCTTAAGAAGCTGAAATGAAAGGGTTGATAGATGGTTCCAGGCTAGCATGGGCTACATGGTAAGACCCTGTATCAAAAAAAAAAAAAAGTTAAATTGCTATTTCTTTTTTTTAATTTGTGTGTGGGGGGGTCTTTTTGAGGCAGCTGGCCTGGAACTCACTATGTAGACCAGGCTGGCCTTGAACTTACAGAGATCCTTCTGCCTCTGCCTCCCAAGTGTTAGAATTAAAAGCATAAGCTACCATGCCTGGCTTTTTGAAAAAAATATTTTTATGTGTATAAGTATATTGCCTGCATGTATGTAAGTGCACCCATTGTCATGCAATGCCCATGGAGGTCAGAAGAGAACATCAGAGCCCCTGGAACTGGAATTATGGATGGTTGTTAGCTGCCATGTGAATGCTAGAATCTGAACCTGGGTCCTCTGTAAGAGCAGTTGGTGCTCCTAACTACTGAGCCATCTCTCCAGCCCCCTAAATTGCTATTTCTATGAGTCTAACATCAGTCCTCTCCCCTTTGACTATCTTAACCATTAGCAGATCTTCTGACAGGCAAGTTCCTAGACTTGCAATGCTAAAGCCAGAATGGTGGTGACCTCCCATCTTAATAAGGGAATGAGGCTAGATCTTACTTGCTTATTATCAAATCAAATTTATAATTATGAACACATCCTTGGGACACAGGAAGTGGATAAAAGCCTGATAAAACAGCTGTAATGATAGAGTCCACACTCATAGGCCCTTTCTAAAAACAGATTATAGGACGTTCTCAGTCAAACACAGCTGAGCCAGGCCACAGCTGGCTCAAGAATTTCCACTCTGACCCTAGGCAACCTATCAACTCCTCAGCAATCCCTAAGGACCACAGAGGGCTTGCTCAGAGTGTGGCCCAGAAGGCTGCCCCTGTAGAATTCCTGCCTCAGTGAGGGTCTCTCCTGGAAGGCAAAGAAACTGAGCAGCAGTGGGTGGAAGCTGGAGCGCAAACCTGCCTGTGTCTTCGGGAACACCACTCTGTAGTGTGAGTCACTAGCTCTGTCTGTTGACATAGTTCGGTTCAAATCTACTCCAGCCACCTACTGACTAGCTGGTTGACCTTGGTAACCTTTCAAAATTTTCACCAGCCTGACCCCAAATTTCCTGATAACCTGTTGTCCTGTCAGTAAGATGACACCTGCTTGCAAAAGTCACAGCTTGTATGTTGATAACCACATGTTCTCAGCCAGCTGCTAACTACTATCAACCACTCCCAATCACAGGGGTGGAGGGTGGGGGTGAGGTTCCCCTTCTCGATCTCATGGCCACTGGATATAATTTCGTCCCTGCTCCCTGAACTGTTTGGTTACTTGTGAACAGCTCTGACCAGATGCAGTATAACGATTCCTGGAAGCCTCTGCTTTAGAAGAGTTGTTTTAAGCCTGGCAGGAAGAAAACATGGACATTCTGCAGTCAGTGGCTGGAAAGAGCACTCAGCGGACAGGTGTGGCTGTTCTCACTTGCTGGAGCCTCCAGGGGTGGCCTGAGGCTTGTTCTTACTACCGTGTCAACCACAGAGCTCCCACACCTGAGGCCTCGTCCTGCCGCCCCTCTCCCCGGTCAGGTGGGCAGTAAGTATCATTCACTCCTCACACCCCGTTAGAGACAGTGGGGAAAGACGACTGTACCTCAGAACTGCATACCTGGAGAACTGAAAACACCTGGGAATCATCAATCCAAAGTTACCTGGGAAGGGGGAGGCAAATGCTGAAGGTGTTTCCGAATAGTTCTTGTGTTTCAGACACAGAAAATACTTACTAAATGCATCCACTGCCTTTGTCATATTGTTCTGGGCAGACCTGAGAAAATAAAATAAACAGTGTTTCCCCTTGAAAACTAAAGAAAACAAAAACACTAGGCAGATTCTCAGTGGCTAGCCCATTCCATTTAGGGTTATAAATGTTTTGGCTTCTATGTGGCCTGTCAAGTACCCAATGATTCTTGATGCTCTCTGCTCTGGAGTCCCCATCTTAGCCCAGGCCCTTGCTTCAGAGCACTGCCCAGCACTCTTCATGGAGACAACTCTTTCCTAACATATTACACAAACTCACTTATGCATCTCCTTTTTGGAAACGACACAGAGTTAGAAAGAAATACACTTTGACGTTGCTGTATACATGCCTGTCCTATGCCCTTAACAAGCTCCTGTATGCACCAGGGATCACACCTAGGCTGCTGCATGTGCTGTGCAAACGCTACCCATGAGCTGCATCCCCGCCCAAACACACACTGTTAATCTTGCTATCTTCAAATTTAGGAAAGAATCTGAGTGCTCCAGTTCCCACGACTCCTGTCCTGTAACCCCAACCCTCCGGCATTTCCCTGTCCTGTAACCCCAACCCTCCGGCATTTCCCTGTCCTGTAACCCCCACCCTCCGGCATCTCCCTGTCCTGTAACCCCAACCCTCCGGCATTTCCCTCTCCTTGATTCTCACTATGTGGCCCTGGCTGTCCTGGAACTCACTACATATAAGGCCGGCCTCAAAGCCATGGCGCTTCACCAGCCTCTGCCTCCCAAGTGCTGGGACTGGCCCAGCATTTGCATTCCTTGACGCCATGGCCGTCCTGAGTGGCAGGACTGGGACACAGAATCGTCTTTTAGTCAGGTGGCTTCATTTTTCTAAGTTTTATTTCCTTATTTGTGAAATAAGGACTCTAGCACTTCTAAGTCAGAGTTGGATTAGACGATGTAATTGAAATCTGACTGAAGAGATTCCGCAGAAGCAGGTTGTGGTGGTCCGTGCCTTTAATCCCAGCACTTGGGAGGCAGGGGCAGGCAGATCTCTGTGAGTTCAAGGCTAGCCTGAAGCTACAGGGAGACCATGCCTCAAAAAAGACCAAAAAAAAAAAAAAAAAAAAAGTTGAACTTCTCAACCCGCTGACGCCACTTCCCAAATTCTGGGATTATAGGTGTGCACCATCACACATTACTTACAAAATGCTGGTGACCCAAAGCTAGGCTTTGTACCTGCTAGGCAAAACACTGTCAACTGAGCTACATCCCAAACCCCTGCAAAAATATTTTGTTGTTGGTTGGTTTGAGACAGGGTCTCAATCTGTGTTTCAGGCTGTCCTGGAATTTACTATGTAGCTCAGGCTGGCTTTATACCTAGTGATCCTCTTGCCTCAGTCTCATAAATGCTGGGATTACAGGTGTGTGCCATCACTCCTGGGTTCAGTTTTTAAAGAATTCCATTTCTTTTACCATAAGCCAAATCTACTTCTCCTAAAAAAAAAAAAAAAAAAAAAAAAAAGTAGGGGGAGGGTGGGACTCTAGGCCTGGAAAGATGGCTCAGCGGTCAAGGGCACTGGCTGCGCTTCCAGAAGACTCTAATTTAGTTCCAAGCACCGATATGGCAGTTAACATTGGTCCTTAGCTCTAGTTCAGGGGATCCAATGCCCTCTTCTGGCCTCCTTGGGTATTGCATGCACATGGTGAACTTTCATACATGAAGGCGAAACACTCACACGCATTAAACATAAATAAAAAATTTTCCTAATCTTAAAAACGTTTCGGGGAGGGGAACCCTGAAAGAAATTCAGTTGGCCTAAGAAATAAATTGCTGAGGCTGGGCATGGTGGTGCACACCTTCAAAATCCCAGCACTCTGGAGGCAAAGGCAGGCGGATCTCTGTGAATTCTAGGCCAACCTGATCTACATAGTGAGTTCCAGGCCAGCTGGGGCTACAGGGAGATCCTGTCTCAAAAAGACAGGAAAGAGAAAGAGAGAAAGAGAGAGAAAGAGAGGAGGGATGGAGGAAGAGGGAGGGAGGGAGGAAGAAACTGCTGAGCATGGAGGTCCATGCCTTTGATCCCAGTACTTAGGAGGCAAAGACAGGTGGGTCTCTTGAGTTCAAGGGCAACTGGTCTACACAGAGAGTTCTACACCAGCTAGAGTTGCATAGTGAGAGCCTGTCTCAAAACCAAAACCAAAACAACCAACAGGCACTTGTGCACTGCCACACCCTCTGGGTTTAGAAGAGGGCTGGCACACAATCAGTACTGTCTGAAGAACAAAGATACAGAAGCTTCATGTACAGGAGGCAGTAAGGGCGAGAACGTGCTAAACAGGTTGCCTGGTATTCCTAAGAACTGCACCTTGAGGCTGAGATGGCTTAGCAGTTAAGAGCACTGGCTGCACTTGCAGAGGACCTGGGGTTTGGTTCCCAGCACCCACACTGAGGCTAATGACTGTCTTTAACTCCAGTTCCAGAGGATCTGACACCCTCTTCTGGCCTTTGTGGGCAATGTACACACATAGTGAACTTCCATATATGCAGGCAAAATACTCATAAACATAAAATAAAAATAATAAAAAAAGGAACTATACCTTATCATGGGTGCAGTGCCTCTTGCTCCAATGCTATAAACACATCATCACAGCTCTGGTGTGCAGGTCTCTGTACTGCACTCACACAAACTGCGCCCTGCAGCCCTAGGCCACATAATCATATGGGTCCACTGTCACATAGATAGTGTCTCACTAAGAGAAACCCTGTTATGTGATGCATGACTCTGCATGTGTGGTACCCAAGTACCACTTCTCCTTTGAGCTCAGTACCAACTCTGAACTGATGAATTTTAGGCATTCTTTTGACTAAAAGGCAACAGAGTGTTTAATGCAAAAGTTTTAGCAATGCCTGAAAAGTGGTAAGACAATCCTCTCAATTACCAATTCAGATACAAAACAAGGGTTTAATTTCTCTTTCTCAAACCTCAATGACACTGACGATAAATCACCTATATTAGGTTTGTTTGGTTTTTGAAACAGGTCTTACATAACCTAGGCTGGCCTCAAACTTGCTATGTGACAGAGAATGACACTGACCTCCTAATCCTCCTGCCTCTTTGGGGAACCCTGCTGCTAGGGTTGTGACAGTCCTCCATGTCCGGATATTGCTCTGCTGTAAATGGAAGGACTCCCCTTCTCAGCAAGGGGCTTCCTGCTCTCTGCCTGACTTACCTGGAGAGTGCAGCCAAGCACAGATGCCTGACCTTATTTGGAACATGACCTTTGGCATAGCTACCTGGAGTAAAAACTACCCCCAGGTTTTTTCTGTATGATAATTAGGCATAGCTGGGGCTACAGGGAGACCCTGTCTCAAAAAGACCAAAAAAATCCTACTTTCAGCTGAATGTGATAGCAATGCAGCTGTATCTCAGCAAACAAAACAACAAAGAGCAGAGCCTGGCACTCAGTACATTTTAATTTTTTTTATTTATTTATTTTTTTGGTCTTTTTGAGACATGGTCTCCCTATAGCCCCAGCTGTCCTGGAACTCACTGTGTAGACCAGGCTGGCCTTGAATTCAAAGAGATCTGCCTGCCTCTGCCTCCCAAGTGTTGAGACTACAGGCATGCGCCACCACGCCCAGGAATGCTTTTCTTTTTTAAAGACAGGATCTCTGTATGTAGCCTGACACTATGTAGCCCAGGTTGGCCTCAGCCTCCCAAATACTGGGATTACTGGGACACACTATGAAGCTTGACTTCTTACTGGTTTTTGAGCCAGGCCCAAATCATTGCTTTAAAGTTGCCTTATTACCTCATTTGAAGGCTTGAATCAAATACCTTGTCTGCATCTGTGCCAAAATAAAGCCATCAATCCACAGGGCACCTGTGGGTCTGCATTGTCTTCAGAGCACAGCAGATCCACTGAGCCTGTCTCATTTCACCGTCCAATCTTGGCAGAGTCTCTATCAGAATGCCAGGGTCTCACATGATACAGGTTCTAAGCTGACCTACTCTTGTAGGGCCAAATACTTTGTTGCAGAAAAAACAGTATGTAAAATGTCACTTTATTTTAAAAAATTTTTAAGCAGAGTGTAGTTGTGCAAACCTTTAATCCCAGGACCTGGGAGGCAGAAGCAGGCGGATCTCTGTGTGTTCAAGGTTAGCCTGTCTAATAGTGAGTTCCAGGCCAGCTGGGGCTACATAGTGAGTTCCAGGCCAGCTGGGGCTAAAAAAAAGGGATTTCTGCTACCAGAGTCCTGCCGTGAGGGCTGGGAAAAGACTCGGATCTCCGCCGAACCTTTCACTGCCTCCTTTCTCAAACAGCCTCCTCCTTCTTCTCTCACTGCCTCCTTTCTCGGACAGCCTCCTCCTTCTCTCACTGCCTCCTTTCTCGGACAGCCTCCTCCTTCTCTCACTGCCTCCTTTCTCGGACAGCCTCCTTCTTCTCTCACTGCCTCCTTTCTCGAACAGCCTCCTCCTTCTTCTCTCACTGCCTCCTTTCTCGGACAGCCTCCTCCTTCTCTCACTGCCTCCTTTCTTGGACAGCCTCCTTCTTCTTTGCCCACCACAGTTCCCCGTTCATCTTTCCTTGACTGTCTGTCCCACTTATCAGAGACTATCAGGCATAGCTACTACAGTGAAGCAGGTTAGCAATCTCTAGACCACATTTACTCAAAATCTACTTCAACATGAACAGGAATGTTTTCTTACTCTGTGACTTCCATGTCCTGGTCATCGCAAGACTCATCTTCTCCAAGGACATTTTCAGGATCAGGTTTCCGAATGAGAAAGAACAGAACTGTCCCCACAAGGCTAATCACTGTCAGGGCAATAAACACTGTTCTCCGGTCACTCTCTAGGGAGGAGAGAAGAAAGTGGATAGCCTGACCAAACAGTACCAGAGTCAGTTCTATACTAGGGCTGTTTCTAATCTGTAAAACACCGTCTCATTAAATCTGTATTTTAATGCACCAGTAAAAAACTTGGATGACTAAACAGCCATCTCCATCTTTGTCTTTCAGCTAGAGAAATACTAACAAGCCAGAAGAAAACAGTAAGCCAGGTGTGGTGGTGCACACCTTTAAGAAACAGGCAAATCTCTGTGAGTTCAAGGCCAGCCTGATCTGCACACCAAGTCCCAGGCCAGCCGGAGCTACACAGCGAGACTCTGTCTCGAAAAGCAAAATAAAGAAAAAGCTATCAGAAGAAAATTTGCACAAGAACTCAACCCTGCTCTTTTCACTGAAGGAGTGCACAGGCTAACACCACTCAGAAATCTGGGGAGATGAACCAGCATGCTGGCATGCGGCACGACCTTCTGGCCTGCTTGGAGGTGCCCTTGGAAGCACAGTCATGAACTAGAACCTTTACTTAGCAGTAAAACCCGAGGGAAAAGCTTATGAAAATCACCTATCTGAGGGAATTTCAGGATGCCAAAGTTCACTGGAATGACAGAGTGTTAACGGGAGTTTTTGTGGAACTGCTGTTAGGCTTTGGAAAACAACTGAATCAAGCTGTATGAATGAAACCAACCTGATATTTGAGTTTTCCCTTGCCAGGCAAAATATATGTAGAGATTTCCAAAGAACAAGCTGTGGGGGAGAAAGGGGAGAAGATGCTGGGGATTCACTGTAATACTTAGGGTTTTAAAACAATTACTCCCATTATTTGACGAGAAAGATCAAGAACACTTTTTTGCTGTTTCCTACATTTTTTAATATTATTTTTTATTTTTATTTTTTTAGAAGAAGCATATCATTACAGCTTTTACATGCCCAATAACAGTTTCCAGAGCAAAGACACAGCTCCTTCAAAAGTGGCTATACAATTTCTAGGTTCACTGTTGAATCAATACAGTTATACAATATTGAATTCAGTATAAGCCCTGCAAGACATTAAATTGAATGAGTTTTTAACCCTCAAAAAAAGATCTCCATTTCATTCTAAAATACAGTTTCTTACAGAAAGACTCATTGTTTTCGCTACTAACACTGAGATGTTGGTGCATGTGTCTCTAATCTGTATGTATCTAATTATTACTAGTCATAATCATTTGCATTCCATTCCTTGGCGCCTGAAGAACACCCTAATTTATAAAGAACCTGCCTACCCTAGGTTACTTAACAGTATCAACTCCACCTTACTCTTTCTGAGAAAGTTAACTGACCCAGATGCATGTGACTGTAACCTGACTCACACACTGCAGAGGACTTGACTCACTTTGAACATATGATTTACTGGAATTCTAAAAGTGAGTCCTTAGAAACAAATTTAATACCATTTTTAAAAATAGGTAATTTTAAAGAATCCATGAAAAAAAGCTGTATGATTTTGGTATCTGCATCTAGTTGGATGCTTATTTACCACTTTCCTAGGGAAGGGACCATTCAGTAACCCTGTTTCTTACTCTCCAACTCCTTAAAACTAAACTTTTGCAGTGCATGTCCAAGCAACTATAATCCCAGCTACTTGGGGGGCTTGAAGCAGAAGACTCACATGAGTCCACTGAGTTCAAGGCCAGCCTAGGCAGCGTACTGAGACTACCAACCAATCTCAAACAAATAGAAAAAAGAGAAGAAAAAACTCTACCACCAACAACTAAATATTCAGTTTGAGTTAAGCTTGCCAAAACCAAAATTAAAAGATTTTAAGGATTCATTTTAATTATTTTTCTATGCATGTATGTGTGTATGTGTCTGCATGTGCATGCCACAGGTGCCTATGAAGGCCAGAGATATCCAGTACCGCTGGATCTGGAGTTCTGTGGGTACTGGGAGCTGAACTTTGGTCCTCTGGACGAGCAGCAAAGAGAGATGGTTTGACCACTGAACCATCTCTCCAGCCCTTTCTCGTTTTCAAGGTTTATTTTCACTTATATGTCTGTGTGTGTGTGTGTGTGTGTGTGTGTGAGGTATGTGCAAGGGAGTACGGGTGCTGCAGAGGCCATAAGACGGCATCAGATCCCCTGGAACTAGAATTATAGGCAGTTGTAAGCCTTCCAATATGGGTGCCAGAACCAAACTCAAGACCTTTCAGTCATCCTTCCAGTCCCCCACCTCTTAAAAATGTATTAAGTCTACTTATTTGTATATGTCTGTGTGTGTACACCCACATGCCACACAACTTGTGGGCTCACTTCTCTCCTTCCACCATGTGGATTCTGGAGACTGTACTCAGGTCATTAGACCTAGCAGCAAGTGCTTGTATTTGCTTAGCCATCTTACACAGATGCCTGAAACTATGTAGGCCAGGCTGACCTTGAACTCACTGCAATCCTCTCATCTTGGCCTGTAATCACAGGATTACAGATGTGCGCCACTCCAGCCAGCTCTGCAGGACATATTCTTGAAACCTAATGGTCACGAGCAGAAAGCTTGCCTTTGCTTTTTTTCTTAGGAAATATCTACCTGCTGTAGCACTCAGGCTCGGAAACCTTCGTCAACAGCTGCCAGCACTGGAATTTGGCTGGAAGGATGTGGCTGCTGGAGTCCAGATAACCACATTTACACAGGAAAACTTTTAGTCCTGTTGTGTCATCTGTGAAGCGTAGATAATGTCTTTCGCCTCTTAAGTTTATGTGAAAATTATGTGAAATTAAATAAACAATCTAACAGGCCTAGAATGTACCAGATGGAGGTTAATATTATTTTCTCTTTTTTAAAATAAATATTATGTATGTATGTATGTATGTATTTATTTATTTTGGTCTTTTCTGAGACATGGTCTCCCAGTACCACCAGCTGGCCTGGAACTCACTATGTAGACCAGGCTGGCCTTGAACTCACAGAGATCTGCCTGGCTCTGCCTCCCGAGTGCTGGGATTAAAGATGTGCGCCACTACGCCCGGCAGTTAATACTATTTTCTATTTGCTAATCTTAAGTTCTAGTAAGACAGGTCCATGTGTTTTACGTGATTCCATAGACTATGAATCTGCACCACATTCATCTACGAACTTCAGTCATACAACCTAGAAGACAGGAGAGTCTGTAACATAATAAAGATCTAATAAACGGCATGACAAAAAAAAAATCTGAAGGATAGACAAGAGCTCCAAAAAGATTATTACCTGGACTGTAAGAGTGCCCAGAAAATTCCGCTGTTTCTCCCAATCGTGTGCTCATCTGAATTTATTGTCAGGCAATTTCCTTGTGCTGTCCAAAGTACTAAAATTCAAATCAAAGTTTATCAAAAGAACGAAATCACTTAGCTTTACCTGCTAACCATGAAACTGAGACCCTTAAACAAGCCCCAGAAAGTAGAGGTAAACAGTGATGCTCACCTGCAGCTGCCATCCCGATGAAAACAGATGCTGTGTAGAAGGACCATGGGAAAGGCTGGATAAAAACGGCAATGTACATGCTAAAATACAACAGGTCAGTGTATTATAGTCACACAGTACCTGAAACAATGCTAAGCAAGCCCTCGAGGAATCAGTTAGAGGCTGTTGTCCTTAAAATTCAGCTTGCAAAGCACTTTTCTTGGTTCTGGTTTTTGAAACCAGGCAAAGTACACACCAGGCAAGTGCTCTCTCTGCCCTGGAGCCCCATCTTCAGCCCAAGCCACTCATTTTCCAGTTTATGATTTCAAATCTGTAAATCTAGACATTTCCCAGGTTTGCAATGGTCTCTGCCATGAGCTTAACACAGGATGAAATGAAGCTTCTGAGCTCAGAAACTCTTCACTGATTCACCTGAAGCTGCTATTCAACTTCACAGAAAGGAAAACTGTTTCCTAGAAAGTTCTTTTCAACCGTAACAGAGGTTTCTGCATTCTATTCATTAATAGCAAAACAAAAGCTGATACACACCAGGCATGTGGTACCTGCCCATGAGCTTAAACTTTAAAGGCTGACGCAGCAGGACCTCAAGTTTGGGGCCAGCCTTAGCCTGGGCTATAGTGAGACCTTTGATATATACACATCCACTAGAGCAGTATGGGATCCTTGAGCAACAAGAACACCTAATTCCTAAAATATCTGTTCTTCTTCTTGGTCCAGGCCTGCAAATTCTCACGAAAAGTTTACCGTGTGCTTAAAAGATGTTGAATGTATTCTAAATTAAGCAAGTGAAAAAACCCCACACTCACCTGTAAAATAAGCCACTGACAAACATAGAGATTTGAGGCCCCACAATGGCAACCACTGACGGAGTGATCAAGTTCGAAGCAGAGAACACGCCGTAAATAATCGCCATGCTGTAAATACAATGGCATAGAAGAAAGAATAAAAGCCTTAAGTAACACCTCCAAAGTTCACTTCTAAAATTCTACTTGGGGCCAGCAAGATATTTTAGTGTGCATAGGCACGTGCTCCCAAAGCCTGACAACCTGATTCCATTCCCAGAATTCACATGGTGGAAGGAGAGAACCAACTCCCTCCAGTTCTCCTCTGATCTCCATACGCAGATACACACACCATGCACATGCATACACACACAATAAACCTCCACTCAGAGTCTGTAGATTTTGTATTATTTAATTTTATTTTAGTGAGTGTTTTGCGTGAATGTATATAAATGCACCACATAGGTGCAATGCCTAGAGACCAGAAAAGGGCATCCGATCCCCTGGAGTTACTGCCTGTTGTGAGCTGTCACGTGGGTCCTAGAAACTGAACCCAGGTCCTCTTTAAGAGCAGCCAGTGCTCTTAACCATGAGCCATCATCTCTCTAGCCCCCAGATTTTTTTTTTTTTAATTCACATTCTTTAGTGGCTGGAGTGATGGTTCAGTGGTTAAGAGCACTGGGTGCTCATGCAGAAGGCCTGGGTTTGGTTCCCAGAACCCATGTGGCCAACAACCATCTATAACTCCAGTTCCAGGGGATGCAATGCACTCTTCTGGCTTCATGGGCACTGCACACCGCGGTGCACTTATATACATGCAGGCAAAACACTCATTCAAAAAAATTTTTTTTTTAAATTTACAAATTTGTATTTTTTTGTCAGAATTTACCATTGTATCCTTAAATACTGCATTAAAGTTCTCATTTCTATAATATGTAAAAATACATACATTCAACATTCAATTTTATGTCTTACAGGGCTTAGACTGAGTTCAATATTGTATAACTGTATTAATGTAACAGTGAACCTAGAAATTTTATAGCCACTTTTGTCTTTGCTCTGGAAACTGTTTTTGGGCATGTTAAAACTGTAATGATATGCTTCTTCTAAAAAAAATAATAATAATATTAAAATAAAATAAAAAAATAAAAATTTCCCTATATATATATATTTGGATAGATGATGGATGGATGGATGGACGGTTTCTCAAGACAGCATCCTGTTATGTAGCCCTGGCTTGTCTAGAACTCACTATGCAGCCCAGGCTGGATTTGAATTCATAGCAATCCTGCCTTGGCATCCCAAGTGCTGGGATTACAGGCATACACCTTGGTATAGGCATACACCTTGTTATTTTGGGTTTGATCTGAGATAAGGTCTCACTATATAGTCTTGGATGGTCTCAAATTTGCAGCAATCCTTCTGTCTGTCTCCTCAGTACTAGGATTACATGTGCCACCATGCCTGGCTTATACTAAAAATTTAATTAATATGTACTAAATATCAGATTTTTCTTTGAATAAACTTGCCAATGACAATACATTCTGATGGTGAGTTTTAACTATTGCTAATTTTAACAGGTACTGGGCTAAGTAGTTTACAGATACTTCCTCTTTTAAGCCTAGAATCTCTTTCATTCCCAACTTACAGAAAACTGAATTACAGTGAAGTTGCCCCAAGGTCAGTGGGTCTCTAGGGAACGGTGAGTGAGGATCCCAGCTCTGGCAATTTGACTTTAGGGGCCTAGAAGTCTGCTCTACTAATTTAGCTTACAATTTCTGCTAACTGCCCAACATTACTTTGCTGTAAATAACACCACAGAGCTATAACTTGCTGCACTAGAATTTAACTCAGATTAATGGTCTCATTTGGACCTTTTTCAGTTATTGTTGACTCAGCCCTAATACATACACACACACACACACACACGGGCTATACATACAGATTATATAAACATGTAAGTTATATATGGAAAGTTGCTTTGTTTTTTTGTTTTTGTCTTTCTAAGACAGGGTCTCCTATTAACTTACTATATAGACCAGGCTGACCTTGAATTCACAAAGATCTGCCTACGCCACTATGCACAACTGCTTTGGGGTTTTAAGATAGGATCTTACTATATAGCCCAGGATGGCCTTCAACTCACAGTCCTCCTGCCTCAGATTCCAATGTGCTGGGATTATAAGCATGCAACCATACCTAGCTCTACTCTATGTAACTTTTTTCTTCTTCTTTTTCTTACTACATGTATCTTGAACAGAGTGGAACTAAAGCCATTCTGAGGGTCCTGGTCTCAATTACTAGCCAGTGTTTAAATCTGTAAATTCAAAGTAAATTATTTTTTGGCATTCATGAACTTCTCAAATATTAAACGTGTTCTTTCAAATACTTAGAAGACACACTACTACAAAGAGCTGATATTGCTTAAAAAACAGATATTAACATCCATTTATTCTCAAATACTATTTAGTAATAAAGAACCAAAATAAGAGTTTTGGATTATGGGAGTGTCACAATCTACTATCTAACTGTAGAGAATTAGGTAGCCAGGCACAGCAGGGTGGGTCTGCAATCCCAGCACTCTTAAGTCTGAGGTAAGAGTAAGTTCCTGGACTGCTTGGGCTACAGGGTGAGACTGTGTGAAACAACAAAGTATTCGGATAGTTCAGTTTAACCATTCCGCAATGTATGTGTATACTTTAAAATGTAGAAAAAAACATACAATTTTTAAAGAGCCATTTCTGGGCATGATGCATGCCTTTAATCCCAGCATTTGGAAGACAGAAGCAGGTAGATCTCTGAATTTGAGGCCAGCCTAGTCTACACAGTAAGTTCCAGGCAGTCAGGACTACATACTGAGACTCTCTTAATAAGGAGAACAAGGACTGGGAGCTGGAGAAATAGCTCACTGTCTAAAAAAGGGCACATTAGGGGCTGGAAAGATGGCTCAGTGGTTAGGAGCACTGGTTGTTCTTACTGAGAGCCAGGGTTTGGTTTCCAGAACCCACATGGCTGTTAACAACTGTCTGTAACTCCAGTTCCAGAGAATCCAAAGCCCTCTTCTGACCTCTGAAGGCATGGTGGCACACACCTTTAGTCCAGCACTCAGGAGGCAGAGGCTGGTCTACACGGCAAAAGTTCCATACCAGCTATGGCTACAGGAAGACCCTGTCTTAAAAAAAACCCAATCCCAGCAGTAGGGAAACAGAAGGAAGAGGATCAGGAGTTCAAGGTCATCTCTGGCAACACATTAAGGTCAAGGCCAGCCAGAGGTTACAGGAAAGTAGCGCATTCCTAGCCACAATCCCTAGCACTAGTGCCTGGTGAGTTTTCATTTTCTCCAGTTGTAAAATTAGGACTAAACAGTGTAAAAATCTAAAAGCTTCTAAAACCAAGATCAAGTGTTTCAACAATCGCAACACTGTTTAGGGTTGGGAAAATATAATTATGACAAAACATGCATGCTTATTAAATGTGGAACACTAGACCAGGTCTTTCTAGCCATCATCTGGGCTCACACGGTAACAAAACACTCAAGTTTTCAATCTGAGTATCTAATTCTACATAAAACCTAAAGTTATCTTCTAAAAATTTTATTACATTTATTTATTTATTTTTGCCAGGTGTGGTGGTGCACACCTTTAGTCCCAGCACTTGGGACGCAGAGGCAGGCAAATCTCTGTGAGTTCAAGGCCAGCCTGGTCTACATTGTGAGTTCCAGGACAGCTGGGGCTACAGGGAGACCCTGTCTCAAAAAGGCCAAAAACAATTTTTAAATTACATTTATTTATTTAATTTTCGTATGTGTATGCGTAGGAGGCCAGAGGACAACTTGTGGAAGACTGAACTCGGGTAGTCAAGCTTGGAGGAAAAAAATCACTGCTTTTCAAGTATACGAAAGGAATCACTGCTATTCATAAAAATTTTACTGCCTGCTGGGCATGGTGGTGCACCTTCGATCCCAGTGTGTGTGGGGCAGAGGCAGGCATATCTCTGTGAGAGGGATACCAGCCTGGTCTATACACAGGTAGTTCCAGGACAGCTGGGCTACAAGGAGATCCTGTCTTAAAGACATTTCTTACCCCCCCCCCCAATTATTGCTGTTTTTTGTGGGGGGGAACGTAGGCAACTATTACTACATGCAAAGTAAATCATGCAAACAGTACATACAATACCTGGTATATCCACTGCCATGGAAGTCTGTGCTATTTAAGCTCCTGATGACAGTTTGCTGTGTGGAAGATAAAACTAATCAATGACTAAGTCTTGCAATCTGAGCCCTCCCCCTTGGAAAGTCTAAGCACTCAGGAAAAAAAAAATTCAAAACTCAAAATGCTCACTACTCTACACCCAAGCTCCACCAGGAATGAAGACGAAACAATAACGAAGGAGGGAGGGGCAGCCAGCTGTACCTACACTGGGTTTTACTGCCTTAACCGTCCAAGAACAACTTAAAGAGTTTAACACAGACAAGAATTACAGCTAACTATGGTCAACATCCAAACTCGATCGAATCGGAGTGCTGAACAAATCTATAAGAAACGTTTGACACATGGAATCAAATCAAATCATAGAAAACGAGGCTAGATCAAAACAAAGTGCAATTTGCGCATAACTAGCAGACGTAACTGACGAGTGTTCTCACTACTAGGATGAGTAACGACAGAACTTCCGAGGAGGGCGTAGGGATTCCAACTCACCGCCACATTTCCACAAGTCTGAAAGGCGGTGAACATAAACATAAAAGCAAGTCCTAAAACGACGATGTTGAAAAGCTTTTTGGATTCCGGGGACATTTTGGCTCGGCTCTGCGGAAGGTCAGCGGCGGCCCAGGACTGTCACCTCTCCTCCAGGCGAACCCCACTGACAATCCAGAGGGAGGAAACCAGAGGATGAGAGCGCGCAGATCCGGGAGCCAGACAGCCGAGCTGTCTACTTCCCGTCCTTGGACGGGAACCGCGGCCTACGGCGAAGCTCTCCGCACAGGCAGTTACAACATTCCCGGGACACGGTCCGAGCACTGAGACCAGCAACCCCGTGCTAGGTGAAGGGCCCACGAGGGGGACTAGGGGCAAGGACTAGCAGCAGCTGCCCCACCGGCCGCCCCGCCCTCGGGGCCTCGCTCACCGCAAATCACGAGACCAGTCAGCTGACCGCGGTGCGTAAAGCCTGCCGGGAAATGTAGTTTAATCTCTGGCTGCTCAGGGCACGCATGCGCAGCCCTCGCGCCCCTGGAAAAAGGGAGCATAAGGGGTGCGGGAAAAGTGAAACTGGGGCGCCCAAGTCGCAAGCTTCGGGAGGGGAGGGGGTCCGGAGCCGGCGGGCGGAATCGGAGGAGGCCGGGGCCAGACAGGCAAAGAATAGCCGGAGTACCGCTCCGACAGGGGCGGGGCTGAGGGCTGGGCAGAAAGGTGCGTGGAGCTCGGGTATTGGCACGGGGAGAAGGCGGGGCCTAGGCAGGGCGCGTCTCATCTCCCTCCCCCTCGAGTGCTCGCCGACGGAAAGAGCATTTGGCGGGCTTTCCAACTGCCTGCAAAGGCCGCTCCCCCTCCCCGCCGCAGTGACTGCGCGCTTTTCGGCCCGCCCGCCGCGCTACGCGCAGGCGTGAGGGGGCGGGGCGAGGCGCGCGGCGCCAACGTTACGGGGCGGGGCCGGGTGAGCCAATCAGAAGATTCATTTCCGGGTGGCGCGGGCGCCATTTTGTGAGCGAAGCTATAAATACACGCTGGAGGCCGGCCGCCAGTTCAGTTGCTGGGTAGGTGCGCTGGTTTCTACGTTCGCGTGCCCACGGGCCTTGGGGTTCCAGTTACCCACGCGGGAAGCTACTACCCGGGTTGAGGCGCGGTGCGAGGCCGCCCCAGCCTGACTAGGCCGCGCACTCCAGCGAGCGCGCGGGCCGGACCACGGCGTTAGCGTCTCGTCGCCAGTTCTCGGGGCCCCGGGCCGCCTGACCGCCATGAGTTACGGCCGACCGCCACCCGACGTGGAGGGCATGACCTCCCTCAAGGTGGACAACCTGACCTACCGCACCTCGCCCGACACCCTGAGGCGCGTCTTCGAGAAGTACGGGCGCGTCGGCGACGTGTACATCCCGCGGGACCGCTACACCAAGGAGTCCCGCGGCTTCGCCTTCGTCCGCTTCCACGACAAGCGCGACGCCGAGGACGCCATGGACGCCATGGACGGGGCGGTACTGGACGGCCGCGAACTGCGCGTGCAGATGGCGCGCTACGGCCGGCCTCCCGACTCGCACCACAGCCGGCGCGGCCCGCCGCCGCGCAGGTACGGCGGAGGAGGCTACGGGCGTCGGAGCCGCAGGTGAGCGGGCGGGCCCACAAAGGAGCACGTGGGGCGGGCGGCCGGGCGGGCCGGACCTTCCGGAGACCCCGCC